TGCATTGGATCCGAAATACGTTCGCAGGTGCAAATACCGGTTACAGAGAATCGATTTTTTCAATGAAAAAAACGTATGTTATCGAAATAAATATGGCACGATTTAATACTGTAATCGGTTGCTGCCAAGGCGAATTTTTTAAAATGGTGTTACCAAAGTGAATTTATGCAAGGTGGTGTTACTGGCGAATTTAGATTTTCGCCGCTGTACTTCTTAATGTCAAATTCAAAGCGAATTTATACAAGGTGGCGTTGTAAGATCAGCTGATTTCTTCGTCTTACATGTATTTTGTTTTTGCTTTTACTGATTTGACAGTACACCCAGAGAACGTTAAATACAGAGAAGCAGCAATTACGAATCAGAGTGTAAATTGTCAAAAGTTATCAAAATCTGATTGCGTACACACCACACCAGCCCACACTGCTGTGGAACATAAGAGCGGCGGAGTAACAGAGCTGAGCGAGAAATAACATTTTGTATATTTAATGAATGTTAAGCATTTTGAATGATTTACGCAGTGTTGCCAGGGAAATTTCGTTTGGAGCTAAAACGGTCGAAAAAAGCTAAATAATACTAATAGTAGCTAAAATGAAGAGCTACATTTTTTTGTTAAGGTTGAGCATTTATTGACGTAAGGTTGTTTTTGCATAACATAAAAACAACGAATTTTATAAGATTAAGTGCTGAAAAAATCGTTTAAAACCAAAATAAGGTGCATATATTTCGATTTCGCTGCTATGGCACTTATAACATCGAGCTAAAAATACTTTACAAGTTGTTAAAGTCTGTAATTTCAGATATTTGAATTAGGGCGTGTGTGAATCGGTAACAAAGTTCTATGGGCAGAGCTGCTGAATAATATTTTTACTATGGTGAGACAGTTTTGCCAATCTGCTGTGTGAAATGAAATATTTTTTGATAGCAGTACATTTTTGATAACCGCAGATTTATGCGGAATAAAATATTACAAATTGCAGTGAAATTAATATTTTAAGAACACATCTACCGTCGTTGATTGCAATTCATCAATTTAAGCTTTTATTTAACGAAAAATTACACACATCAACGATCTTTGCGATTGTCAAAATTTTCTATGCATTTGTTAAAAATTTCACTAGCCTCATGAGCTACTGAGATTTTATTCACCTCATAGTTGTTAAAAATTTATTCGGCGGGAACTTTTTTATCGATTCACACACGCTCTTAAATAATTTTTAAGCAAAATTTTTCTTTAAACTTTTACTTCCAGCTCTCCTCTAAGGTAAAAGTAGTAAGCTAAAACAAAATCCCCGCTATCATAAAAAGGATTTTGTTTTAGTTAATTTTTGAATTCTTTAACCCAGATCCAAGAGCTTATGGTGGACTTACTACATCTCGAAATTATCCATTTTATCAACGCTTAAGTTATGGCTTATATATATACCAAATACAACTAAAACTTTCTGGAGCTAAAAAAGTGCTAAATAAATATGAAAATAGCTAATAAAAGAGCTAGGGTTTTAGGATTTTCGGAGCTAAATAGAAAAATAGAGCTAAATCTAGCTCCAGAAGCACCAAAATGTCATCAACCAATTATTGAAAAACCCGTATTTGTTAATATTTTTTTTGGATATATGAATATTTCTTGTGCGAAGATACAAATGTGACGATGTGTGCTTTTACGATTGTGCAATGCAAAAAGTAGATATGTGAAAATTATGCAAATGTATAGTAACATTTGCAATGGGAGCAACTTTTTGATGATTTGCCGTCGGCATTTTAAAACGAATAAAAAATTTCTTTTTATTTTTTTAACGATTCTTATTGTAGTTACTACGCTATTTTTAATGCAACAAACCGCAGTTTTCTAGCTGCCTTAGTTTTCTCACAAATCCACTTAAAAAAGGGACGCTTTGACAAAAAAAAGCGTGCAAATGATAATGATCTTTGATAATTTGTTTTCAGCATTTAAAAGCGAAGATAAAGTCGGTTTTTATTATTTTTAACCATTGCTACGCTCCTTTCAATTCAAGAAACCGCAATTTTCTTGCTAGCAAATTTGCTCCAAATATAAACACATTGACAAAAAACGTACAAATGCATTAATTGCACTTGTTAACTTCAAAGTTGTTTTTCACGAGAAGTTATGTTTATGAACATTTAGAACATATATTTCGAGAAATATCATTTTTGAGAATGATCATTTTTCACTGCAATACTTGTATTATATGTATGTATGTAATTAATGGGGCATATTCATAGTCAAAATAAAGTCGAAACTAAAGTTAGTTACAGCTTTTTGACTTAATTTTCAATGGAATATCTGTAAAAAGCTGCAACTAACTTTAGAGTCGACTTTATTTCTCACGCATGCGTATACATGGTATGTATGTACTTACATATGCACTACATATGTACATACATACGTATGTGCATATTTCTGCCTAAATAGTACGCTAATGCATACATATGTACATATGTACAACTCCGCATACATACATACATATATATGTACATAATTACGCGCATATTCAAATACAACAATAACTATTTCATTCATAAACGCATGCGCATATTTCTCAAGGCCAAGTAAATTCATTGATAAAAACAACCGCAGCACATCTCCCCGCAAATTCATCACCAACAAGCGCAACTTTTTCAATCCGACACAAAAATTCTAAAATCTTAAAATGAAGAAATCTCGGCCAGTCAAGTGAAAAGTGGCAACTATTTCTCTATATCCAGTAAAATAAGTTATCTCGAATCTTGGCAATTTTTGGTAATTTTTGACAAAACACTCTATTTCTCTGTTCCATACCAATATTTCAATCATTAACTCATATTTTAAAGTGTCATTTTAGTAAACATTAAATAAAAGTGTATGTTTTCTGCAGCAAAATACATTAATTTTTTTTTAATAAAATCAAAACTTGTAAAATCACAAACATATGAGGTTTTATCGGAAGTTCACAGATGTAACGTGGCAACTTAGCTCGTTTTCATATTTTTCGGTCCGAAATTGTAAAATTTTCGTCCATGCCGCGCCACAATTTTTGTACAGGTGGGTCAATGTGCCTTGAACAAAATTTACATATATACAAAAAAAATATTTTATTTATTTTTTAATATTAAAAGTTTCTATACTTCCAAGCGTTTATAAAAATATATTTACATATATGCACGAACGATTTTTAATATTTTTCATCCCTAAGCAAATCTTCAGTACCATAAAAGATTCAAACACATCAAAGTACAAGCAATGCAATGTCCAAGTTAGTGCTACTCCACTGTACATGTGTATATGAATGTATGCATGTATGCGTGTAAAAAATGTCAATTCCAGTTGGTTTTTAACCCGTTTAGCGGACATAGTTTTTTTGCTTTCAGCTGGTTGCAACTGTTAATGAAGCACAATTTTTATGTTTAATCTTTATGAAAGTTACATGTATCGTCGAGAACATGGTTAAATGCAGAATTTTAAATTAATTAATATTATTCACCTTACAAAATGTACGAGTATTGCTTTATTAAATGCAAACTTATGCGAAAATCTAAATATTTCGTAAACTCGGGGTTAATGGTTTCGCGCACGTGCCAATCTGGTGCCGATTCGCAGAAATTGAATAATTTGTGTTGATGGCAGCGGCGAGGGGAAGACGAAAGCAGACCAATCGTACATTTGTATGTACATATATGTACATTTATAAATGCATACATACTTACATTTTTACGCGTTTGGCTT